TCTGCCGACAATATAGTGTACTGGTCTGGAAGTCGATGAAGTACGGACATTTGGGGGCCCGTGATGCCGATGCCAACCCATTCACGGGAAACCGATCCATCGGAGTAACGGATAGTGTGGTTGCAGTATCTGGTTCTCTGGAGTTCCGCGACGGATCTCACAAGTGCCGTAGAGTTAGATCCTGCCTTGAACTTCTTCTTTATCGCCAAGTCGATAATTGGCCCGGGCAGGTTCCAATCTCTGGTTCCACACCAATGTAAGCTAGACTGGCGGTGGCTGAAAGGAGTTGTTTGGCCTCGGTAAGGAGGAAAACTCCTTCATCTGAGCCACCTGCCTTCTCCGCGAAGCTAATTGATCGGTTACAGATGGTCTGAGTAACTAGAAGGTTGAATGGTAGTACTCTACTTTCCACGCAAGCTGCAATTGCAGGCGTGGATGGTAGTAGGCCGGATGAGATATGGATTGCTTGGTGGTATGTAGAGGCTAGTTTCGTAATAAGTTGTTCGCGAGCGAGACAGGTAACTTCGATTTCATAAAGGAGACGTGATTCTAAAATTGTTCTAGCAACTCGAAGACGAATGGGCCGGTTACTGTCTGGGTGTCGACCTGCGATGGATCGTAGCAGATTAAGACGTGTCTTGCAGGCGTTCTTGACTTCGTCGAAGTGAGCAGAAAAGGTCAAATATCGGTCAATTCGAACTCCGAGGATACGGGCTGACCTCCTGATGGAAATAGCTGTACCATTGATACAGATGGGAGTGTTAAGGACGGCATGATGGTGAGAGCAGATGTGCACTAGTGTGCATTTTTTGACTGAGAGTTGGAAGCCAGTAAGTGATGTCCACGGGGAGACTGCCCTTGTGGCAGCGCCCATCTTTCTACGTAGGGCCTTTATGGTTTTGTGAGTGATCAGGAGGATAATGTGTATGTAAAGATGTAAGGATGTAAATTTCCTTAGGAAGGTTAACGAAAACTCCATTCATACAAATTAAGAAAAGGGTGACCGCGATAACCGAACCCTGTCTCCTCTCGGAATGTTGCGGAACGGTGGTTTGCCAAGAAATTCTTCACGAAATGCATCAGGTGCCCGCCAAGGCCCCAATCAGCCATTTGTCGGATGACATCTGGCATCCAAGCTCTATTATATGCTTTTGCTATGTCTAAAGCTGCCAGTTCGACGTGGTGTCCGCTCGAGGTAGCGTCATCAAGGGCTTGGGCAAGTGTGGCGAAGTACGTGTTTGTACCGTGTCCTGGACGAAAAGCGTGTTGACGGTGGTCAAGTAGGTCCCTGGATTCTAGAAAGTTCATCAGTCGTGTATTTACCATCCTTTCCACGATTTTGGAGGCACAGCATGTGAGGGAGATCGGCCTGAAATCACTAGCTTGTCTGCCTGGCTTTCCTTGCTTGAGGATCGGGACCACGAGACTGTGCTTCCTATCCTGAGGCAGGGAGTTGTGCAGAGTAGGCCAAGTTTGGGGTCAAGAAGCTGTGTTATATTTTTAACAATATCTCAACAATGTGTTTCTTGAATTCATTTCTGCTAAAAGATCCTGACCAAGTCACGCCCCTTCCACATGTCCTTCGACGGTTTCGTGAATATCGTACGCCTGTGTCAGGGGATGTTCGTGAAATGTTTCATCAAGTGCGGATGAAACCCAAAGACCACACGGCGAATGAGAACGACTCAAATTTGAGTTTAGTTCACTCATAATCGCCAAAAGTGCAGGAACTCAGCGATGAGTAAATTTGCCTCATGTTTTCCCAGGTTTTTCCAGGGAACAAATCCCGTATTTGAGAAAAGTAAAGATTGGATTCACTCAGTCTATTGGTACTACTCCGAGACTGAATAAAATTTTCGTCACTTTCCTCAATTTCCACAGGAAACCATGAGACAAATTTTACTCATCGCTGAGTTCCTGCACTTTTGGCGATTATGAGTGAACTAAACTCAAATTTGAGTCGTTCTCATTCGCCGTGCAGCATTGCCAGCGATTCCTGTGGGATGATGACGTTCTCGGAGAAGGTCCTTCGACGTACGTGATGGAGGTGATGACGTTCGGGACCAGCTGTTCACCTAGCAGTGCACAGTACGTTATTCTTTGGTGGAAGCAATGGAAATATTTACCTTATACGACAAAACCCAGGTAATCATGACGTTTGATTATTGAAAACAATTTGAATAGAGAAAAGAGCCTACTTCTGTCATGATTACCTGAGATTTGTCAAATAATGTAAATATTTACACCGATTGCATCGAATAATGAAGCTAAATGCAGAACGATTCAGGAGTCTATTTCCAGAAGCGGTGGAGACGATATGCAAAGGAACGTATGTGGACAGCAGTGTCAGCAGTGCTCAGCAGTGTCGAATCTGAAGCAGAGGCGGTAAAGCTCGCGCAAAATGTGCGTAACATACATGCAGAAGGTGGGTGCGAAATCCGAGAATGCGTTGCGTTGCGTGTGTAACGGAGTAATTCGTAGATTGCATACTGGCAACATTCTGATTGCTTAAGGAAAACTATTTGGGAGTGAATAGTTCTCCAATCAAAGTTCAGAACAGGAAAAGCATGACAATTGCCATTGCTGGCCAAGCCCGTCTTCTCCGTTACGGGGAAAGGAAGGATATTGTTAATGTAGCATATGCAGCCGAAAACTATGAAAGCGAACGCACGCACAAAACAGAGAGCAAACTTCAGACACATCCGTATCCGAAGGGGTTCGAAACTGCACTCACAAGGCGGGTTCGAAATCCGAGGATGGCTGTCAAACTCTAAGAAAGTAATAGAATCCATGGGCTAGCAGAGAGCTCCTGAAAAGGATCTAAACAAGACCGGAGAGCTGGCGACCGAGAAAGTTCTAGGGATGTGGTGGAATATGATCAGCGACAGGAGCTGTTATCCGGAGAGCAAGTTCCCACGAAGCGGGAAGTTTTGCGAATTCTCAAGTCAGTCTACGATCCGCTAGGACTTCTTGCCAACGTATTGATGTACCTGAAGGTTTTGCTGCAAGAGATCTGGCGCTCTAACATTGGTTGGGACGAGCCGATACCTGACCAGCAGCTGGAAAAGTGGAGAACATGGCTCAGCGTATTGAACAAGGTGAATACAGTTTCCGTTCCTCGGTGCTATCGCCCGATGACCACTTCGTCCAGTGAGTTCAACGAAATTCAACTGCACGTCTTCGTAGACGCGAGCGAGAATGGCTACAAGCAGCGGTGAGGAACCCGGTTGGCGAAGTCTATAGGAGAAACCCATCGCATTGGAATCCGAAAACGGTTCTTCTGGTCCGACTCAAGGGACGTGCTTTGCCGATCACAGGAGGTACAGCAACCAGGTACCGGTACCAGATTTGGCAAAATTTTGGAAATCACTGAACAGTCAGAGTGGCTCTGGGTGCCAACAAAGCAGAACGTGGCCAATGATGGCACTAAGTGGCAGCGGACTCTCGACCTATCACCATCAAGCCGTTGGTTCAAGGGACCAGCATTTCTGTGGGGACAGCGGAGTGCTTGGCCTGTTCAGCCGACAAACCATGGAGAAACCACCACCGAGATGAACGTTTCGGTCAACCGTACACGTAGCCGACGAACCCGTTCTTAACTTCGCTAAATACTCCAACTGGCGTAAACTTCTATAGGTTTCCGCGTACGTTCTCCGATTCTTGAAAAACCTTCGAGCTAGACTACAGCGCTAGACTACCACCATCTACCGGAATCCTCAATCAGTCGGAGCTATTTGAAGCGGAATGTTCCATTTACCGACAAGCCCAGCTAGAAACGTTCGGTGAGGAAGTATTATTGCTGATCTGTCACAAGGAGGCAAGCGAGAACAAGGCGATTCCTATTCCTAAAAGTAGTTCACTCTACAAACTTTCGCCGTTCCTTGATGACTACGGAGTACTTCGCATGCTAGGCAAAACTGCCGCCTGTCAATTCATCGATTCATACGACGCTCGTTGTACAATTCAAGACCAACAATTGAAATGGCCTTAACTCCATTTTGTAAATAAACCTTGTAAGGCCATTTTCTCGCGAACCTCGACTACTTCGGACCAATGCAAGTCGTCGTTGGTAGACGGAAATTGCACATTCTCTCAACACTAGCTCCTGCATTATGGCAATACGGAACTTCGTGGCCAGAAGAGGTTCTCCTTTGGAATTCTTCAGCGACAGGAGAACGAATTTCGTCGGTGCCAAGCTCCCGCTAACCGAAGCGTTCCGGTCCCTCGATCAAAATAAGCTTATATAGGAATTCTTGAAACCAGATACCAAGTGGACCTTCTTGCCTCCGAGCAGTCCGCACATGGGTGGAAGCTGGGAGAGACTGGTGCGGTCAGTGAAGAAAATTCTGAACAATATGCAACTTCCAAGATCTCCCACCGATGAAGTCCTGCGGAACAGCTTGCTGGAGGTAGAGAATGTTATTAACTCGCGCCCCTTACCTACGTTCCAATTGAAGACGCCGGGAGTGAAGCACTAACGCCCAATTACTAACGCCCGCTGATTCAGAAAGACATTAAAATTCTTTAATGATTTTGAAACACCAAAATGATTCGGGTAAGAGCTTTTAATTAGCATAAGAAAAGTTCAATGTTTCCACTATACTATATATTTGGTTGAACATCTGTCAACATTTTCAGTAATTTTTAATAAATTGAAATTTTAGCCGCCGAAACTCTAGTATAAATTAAAACCTATTATTGCAGCTAAATTTGGTTTATCCCAACATAATTTCAAATTCACATAGGTAACTTTTACGCGTCCATGTCGTATGAACTTCTGCGATTCACCTGAGGATAGACCGCGAGCCATAGATTGATAAACGCTGGTCCAGGGAAAGACCCTTACCTAAAAGAAATGAGTCGGTCGCCTTATAAAATTGAAACATAAAGGCACCCAGGGTCTTTTGCTCCCAGCACGCCCCAGTCCAAGTCCAAGCATCGTTATCTCATTCCACTCTTCCTCAATTCACTCCCACCTGATCCCACACATTCTCTCTCACCTGATCGACGAAATCGAACAACTGGCTGATGTCGTACGTGATGGTCGGTGTGTTCGGATTGCGCCTCTTCAGATGTTCCTCGTAGATTTTACACACCCCCTCCATGCACTCGTTCACGCTTTCGTAGTCGCTGTAGGTTCGAGTTTCCGGATTCCGGCCCGGCTGCACCAGCAGAATGGTATGCGACATCTTCTTTCCTCCTCAACGCTATCGTACAAATTGAACACTGGTCAGTTCCACTTTCTTCGCGGAATGGAAATGTATAAGATCCCTAAAATGAAAACGAAGAACATAAAGTCAATCGGAACCGGTCAATAATCCTTCCAGAAGCCATCGATCTTAGGTTAGGAGTCGGCCGCCGTCGAATTAGTATCAACAAAACAAAAATGGAGCACCACCGTCGCTGTCGTCGTCGCCGCAACTTGCCTGAAGTTTTTTTTTTTCCCTTTTGTCGGCTTTTCCGCTGCTCTCCAGCGGATGAATACTGGTCTACTTGGCTAATTCTACGGACGCACTGGCTAACCAGATAGTTTACTTCCGATTAAAATGCCAATTTGCGGCTTCTTTCGAAAATTTTGATCGCGTAAAACTAAATTGTATGGAACTTGTTCGGCTAGTGCGCTGTTAACTTTTTTTTGTACGTTTGACAGAAAAAAAACACGACGAGACAGTTAGCGAAAATGAGTGATCGACGCTAGCGACGCCATGGTGTGCGTTATTCGGCGTAGAACTAAATGCACTCATTTGGTTGGTTCGTGTCATTATGAACTGGCATGTAAATCGAGACATGCTGGTTGAGAAATCGTTCACGGCGGTAAAGCTCCAACTGGGATTAAGTTTTAATTTGGAACTTTCTGACGAGTATTCAGTGTACCTTTTACATTGTTTTTTCTTTTAATTCTACTACTATTGTATCACTTTCACTTTCACTAATTCGAATTCAAAAAATGTTAGGGCAGGTTCGTGATTTCCGTTCAAATTTAACCGGTGAGGAAATCCAATGTGCACTGTAACTATGCTGAGCCAACACAGCAAAAAAAAATGTAATATCGATCAACGTAATTCAAGCTGATGTATGAAATAATGATGTAATAGCAAAAAGCAGATACAATATAACATCAATGGATGTAATTTTGTTCGCAAAATCGATGTACATCGTACAATGTGATATTACACAACCGATGGATTGACCTGGTTGCAGCAGTTTCGATGTAATATTCAACAACTTTTTTTGCTGTGAACAATCAATACGAAACTAACGATTACAAATTGGCTCACTACGCAATGAAAATTTGACAGATAAAATGGGGGTTTAGTGGAATTTCCTATGTTTCGAGGGGTGAATCGATGAGCTTGGGACCGAAGATAGTACCAGAGCTGAGCCAAAAAGTTGAGCTCGTTTCTTCGGGACCTTCTGGTCTTAAGGTATTAGTACACGAGACAAATATTTGTCTTAATTTGACAGATACATTAAATGTATCTGTCAAATTAAGACATATTTGTCTCGTGTACTAATACCTTTAGAGTTACCTCTATGGTTGAGCATAGACTAAAGGGCTGAACACAATGATAGCGGCATAGCGGCAATCACAAATTTTCCAATACACTGAAATCCGTTTGACAACCCACAATGAGCGCGTTGCAGCAAAAGCCGAGGCAAAAGCGGCATTGTACTAAAACGCGTTTTTTTTTTCAACATTTTGGAAAAACGCGATACGGTTCAGCGGCAGCCTGAGAAGTGCTGAACGTTTTCAGTTGATTTTTTTTTTTGTAATTTTTAGCTAACCAGAACCTTCAAGACGTGAACCAAATAATCATCCCAGGTCGTAGTATGTAATCAGAACCATGCATCCGGACATATTTCGGGTACCCCCGGGGAACTGGTCAGATTCTTCTTGAACCAACACACACACATGTGACACATCAAATTAACTGTTAATTCAAAAATAAGATCATTGGAGGCCATATTAAGTACTGAAGACTACGTTAGCCAGATCCGGACATGTTCCGGTACCCTCGGGGAAGTGAACCTACACCCTCATGCGACACACAAATGAGATCATTGGTGGCCACATTAAGTACTCAGTACCACACGTTGTACCAGACCAGTACCAGATCAAAATATGTTCCGAATACCCCCGGAGAAGTGAAACTTGAACCTACTACCTGACACACCAAACTATATGAGAAATCAAACATAAGAACATTGGTGACCACATTCAGTACTCAGGACAACACTGGCCATCAGTGTTGGCAAAATCAGAACTCAATTGATATTATTCCGCTCACATGCTCTCGCAATATCACGCGTGATATTGGAACAAAATATCATGCTTGATATTGATTTTACAAGCTCCTTTGATATTGCGACAACGTGCAAAAATCAAGCTGAGAGTTGACTCGACACAAAAATGATTCCATTGCACATCGTTTTCTTATAAAGAGAAAGTATAGTTTGCTATCTTTTTTTACTCTTCGCAGATGGCAGACACGAAGTGACTGCTACCAGCCGTTATGGAAGTTTTGGTTGAATTCGGGTGTAAAGCAAAAATCATTAAACTCAATCTTACCCGAGGGGGGCGACACATCTAAATCTCAATTCTAGATGCTCAAAAAATCTCACACTAGCGAATCAATCTTCAAAAAATCATCTTTCATTTCTCGCATCTACTTGCATCGTGCTTCATCTTTTTGCAGGAAATCTTCAAAATCGACATAAATCTTCCGTCTATCTACTCAGCGTGCGTGCAGCTAGCCACAGCAAAACACAATCTTTTCTGCATCGTAGATAGAGTCGCCCCCCTCGATCTTACCACAGTTTGTTGAGATTTGCAGTTGGTGAGTTTTGTTAGCTTGATATTCCAAGCTGCAAAATCAACCGCAGTTGTTTGCTTGTTGATTTTTGTCTACGAAAATCAAGCGTAATCTTGGGCGTTGGCTCGGGCGTTGGTGAGATTTGATTTTTTGATATTTCCCAACACTGCTGGTGTGGTATATATGTTCCGAGTGCCCTCGGAACTTCCCTGAAATTCTCTTCAGAACTTCTCTGAAGTTCTCCTCAGAACTACTCTGAAATTCTCGTCAGAACTACTCTGAAGTTCTCCTAAGAATTACTTTGAACTTTTCCTCAGAACTACTCTGAAGCTGTCCTCAGAATTACTTTGAAATTCTCCTCAGAACTACTCTGAAGTTCTCCTCAGAACTAAGTTCTCGCCAGAACTACCCTGAAGTTCTCCTAAAAACTACTCTAGATCTTCGATGAAGTTTTCAAAAATTTTCTGAAAAGTACGAAGTTGTCTGAATATTATCTTGAAGATTTTTAAACTTTCCCGCTAGTTAGGACTTCCCTAAAGATATATTTACTCCATCAGAAATTTTTTTAACTTCTCAATAATTTAGAGTTGTCTCGACTTCCCAAAAATTCATGGAACTTTTCTTATAGTACGTTCAGACTACAGAATTATAACATGTTATAGAGCTATCTTGATGGTGGTTTCTGTGTTGCAATTATTTGACAACCGTTATAACAACCGGTGAACACTAGTGTTTATTTCAGTTACCGTGGGGACGTAATTTGTGATTAGGCCCGGTCCCTTTCAAATTGTATCATTATTTATGTACGGTCCTTATATTTGAAATGACAATTCACATTCATCTAGTGATGGCCAATTTTCATTCGAATAATCGATTAATCGATTAACGAACCGAAAAGTAAAATATGTGTAATCGGTTATATCATGCCGATATAAGCATTAACATCTCCAGAGGATCATCACCGATCGTTTCAAACATGAGGTGCACTCTAATTGGTGGACAATTTGTAGCACAGCGAACAAAAAATAATCGATTAGTTGTTAATCGAGTAATTAAAAAATTGGACATCTCTGATTTTGGTGTGATTGTTTTGATAAAAATAAGCGCAAAATTTCATCTCTACCGAGGGGGCAGCAAAACCACAAAATTACCTTGTATACGGGGGGTATTCATTGGATGAAAGGGACCGTGAAAGAGAACACTAAAATAGAAAGTATTTCTTCCGACAGTTTCATCTTAGTATTCATCTTTGGTTATAACATGTTATAACTGCTCAGTCTGGACAGCGTATTAAGCTCCCGCAGTTTTTGTGATATTCATAACTCTTCTCCGATACTCTCGATATTTCCTCACGGTTCAAGGTACTTCTTCAAAGTCCTCCCACATTTTTTGAAGCTAATGCAAATTCAGGGAGGATCACTGAACTTCGTAGAATTTCACAACCACTTGGAATTTTTTACAAGATATCAGATTGATTGATTATTTAGAAGACCTTTTACTGATCTTTCTTCACTATGTCAGCTGAATCAGAGATTATTCAAATAACAAATAACCTCGCAAATAACTCAAAACTGCAATCAAAATAATCCCGTTTACGTGGTTTGTTTACGTACACAATGCAGCGAAAGAGGAAAAATAAATAGATTGTGAGCGTGTGCATTGCGAGTAGGAATTTGGCAACGCGTAAGTGGCACAGCGGTTAGCGCGATTTTAGTACATTGCGCGTTTGCCGCTATGCCGCTGTCATTGTGTTCAGCCGAGGGGCGTGCAGAGAGGCGTGCCGAGGGGCACGCACTAGTATTTCAATACTACGCAGTCTGTTGACCAAATATTTAAATTCTTGTCATTACTGCTTTCATTACTTTAGTGCGTGCCCCTCGGTTCAGCCCTTAACACTCCAGAACTTTTTGGTTTCCGCCTCAGCGTTGCCAGATATACCGATTTATCGGTATTTATACCGATTTCCGAACTAGATACCGATATACAGATAAGGTTCCTCAGAATACCGATTTTTGAGGTTTTATACCGATTTATACCGATTTATTTAAATAAACAAAATGATTATTGCCTGCCCGCTCTCGAATTTTGGAGAAAATTATTGTGAAAGACTTGTATTTTTTTGAATATCTCAATTTTTTTAACCTTTAAAATAAAAAAAAAAACATTTTCAAAAATGTCTCTTTCGATTAATGTTTAAATTTTCTCACCATTGTTGGCTACCCATGAATCGATAAACAGTCGATGGCTCTTTCTGGTAATTCCGGGGGAGTCGGGAAATACTTTTTAAACATTATTTCTTGGATTTCCTTCCCACTTTCCCCTTGAATTTTCTTCCACCTTACATCGTAAATTATTATACGATTCCTCTCGAAAACTTATGTTGACTTCCCTAGGAAGCTTCTTCAGCCTTCGCTCGAATGATTCTTCCATCTTCTCCCGCCAGTTTTTCAACTTTCCCGGAACTTCAGAGATGCTTCCAGATTTTGATTGCGGATCCACACTAGCTGCAGGAACTTCTAAGAAGTTATGAAACTTCGGAAAAGTCCAGACTTTTGAGTAAGTTTCGATAAATTGAAGAATGTTTCAATAACTTCTGTTATAATTCTAAAACCCGGTCCAGCGAACTCCAGGAAACATCATAAATATTTTGGATACTGCACAAGTCCATAGAAATTCTGGAAAATTTAAGGTTTTTAGCGAGGGGGGCGACTCTATCTACGATGCAGGAAAAATTGTGTTTTGCTGTGCTTTGCTGCGCACACGCTGAGTAGATAGAAAGAAGATTGATGACGATTCTGAAGATTTCCTGCAAAAATATTATGCGCGATGCAAGAAGATGCGAGAAATGAAAGAAGATTTTTCGAATATTGATTCGCTAGTGTGAGATTTGTTGAGCATCTAGAATTGAGATTTAGATGTGTCACCCCCCTCGGTTTTCAGGGCAGTTCCATTAGTTTCAGGAGAATTGAGAAAACTTTAGGAAGCTCCGAGAACATCAGGACAGATCAATAAATTTAAATGAAATCGCTGAAATTTTAAAGGAGTTCAGAGAAACTTCAGCAATGTTCCGAGGGGTTCATGCAAATTTAAGAAACGCAAGGGAAGTTACATGAACATTAGCGCATTGTGAGAACATTTTATGGGAAGTTCCGTGCTCATTAATGACAGTGTCGATAACTTTTAAAAATTAGAAAAATCAGGAAGATCAGAGAAGTTTAATGCTGATGTTAAAATAAATTCAAGAAAATTATGCGCTTTAGAAATTTCGTAATCTTCAAGAAAGTCTAGAGACCTTCAAAGTTGATAAGAGATATTCCGGTAATCTCATTATAATTAGGGAAGTTCCAAGTATTTCAAAATTGATCAGAGTACTCCAAAACAGCCTAAAATCCCTAAGTACATTTCAGGAATGTTCCAAAAACTTCAGGGGCATTGCGGGGTCTTCAGGGATGTTTATGACCATTTGGAACACTTTCTGGATCATTTGAACATCCGCCAAGAGCTATTTCTTCCGGAATTATCTCCTTGTTTCTTTAGACTGCTCCGTAAGCGCTCTGGCTTCCGACCTCTCCAGAATTTTTTTTTCAATCTACTTTATGAAGTTTCTTCCGTCTTCCCCTGGAAGTTCAATTAAACTTCTCCCAGAAATTTCTTTCGTCTAGTTCTGGAATTTTTTCCAGTTGGTTTTTTGGCTTCTATTCGAAGGTTTTTCCGAGCTTCTTCTGGCTTCCCCTGGAAATGACAACTTCTGGAATTTACTTCCAATTTCCGAAACTTTTCTGTCAGAAACTTTCACATCTGATTTTTTTTCTGGAAGTTTCTTTAAATTTTCGCCAGAAGTTTCTCAATTTATGTCTTGGAAGTTCCGCGGATGTTTTTTCCGACTTCTCTCAGAACTTTCCTCAAATTTCTTCCAGGAGAGCTTCTTTCTTCTTTCGCTGGATGTTGTTTTCAGCTTCCTCAGCTTCCTTTTCTGATCATAGCCCAAAAGTTAAAATTTCCACTTTCAAAAACGGCGAAAATATAAAATTAATTAAAATAGTAAATACCGATAAATACCGATTTTTTTAAAACCTTTGATACCGATAAGCTTGTAAACATTCTGGCAACGCATCAGCCTAACCGCCACTAGGAGTCACTTCTCTTAAATAAAGAAAAAAAAAAACTTCTTCCTTTTAGAGGAAAAATTTTGAAACTGGTATTATTCGATAGTTCAATTTAAACTGATTTGGTTCCAAGCTGATCGATGAACCCCTCGAAACATAGGAAAATTCAGTGGGGTACACGCTTATTCTGGTCAACTCAAAATTGAGTCGAATGTACTCATCTCAGCGGCAAGTATGGCTACTCAAAATTGAGTAGCCTTATGTTGACTCACTTTTGAGTAAACTACGTTCTCACGTAGACTGAGTCAAATCCACTCGCCGGTATTTTCAGTTGCAGGGAGGGTTTTTATTTTGGTTTTCATTCAAGGAAATGGAAATTGCCTGCTCCGGATTCCTTCTACCGGATCAAAAAACGGTTCAACACCGTTTCCCTAAGCAATTCGTACTTACCTGAAGGCATTCCAGCCGGTTTTGAGTAACATTTTCTATGAACTTTCCTCCGACATGACTGGCATTTTTTCCAAGTCCAGGATTTTGCTGACTGAGTGGCTTTTACTCAGTTTGACATTTCTCGTTTACTCAATTTTTGACAACTCGATACATCGGACGAAAGTGAGTACGATCGACTCACCTGGTGAGTAAGCAGAAGTTAGCGTGTATGTTCATCGATGCACTTGGGACCGATAGGCTAGTCCAGTACGTAAGCCACTTTAAAATCGTTAGTTTCCACTGGTTGGTAATACGCTCATCCGACAAAATCATGGTCGGACTATCGGGGTTTGGCTCGCTAGTCTCAATGAGATATATACAGGTGAGGAAATGATCGTAAAATAGTATTCGTGTAGTCCAAAATATGTCATAGTGTTTGTGAAGTATACCTTTCGTGACGTCAAACTCCACTTTTTTCATGCCAATTTTTTAGGAGTTTTACGTCATCACCGATTGTTTACCTCTTTTTTGCTACTAATACCATCAAATACCCTCTTGTGCCACACCTGTATATATCTCATTGCGCTAGTCTGACTGACAGAAATTGACAGCACAATTTATTCAAACGCGTGTTTATATTTCTATTCCGACATTTTCTAGATTATCGAGTCGACGGATCAGCAAGTGTCGCATGAGCGGGGAGATACTGTACGGCATTGGGACCATTGTGCATTGTGTACCAAACTTGAATCCAAGTTGAAACTCGTTTTAAAACAATTCCGATAGCATTCGGTTTAAAATGAGGGTACTTACCTTACAATAACAACACCGTTCGAGATGGCACGAACTGTGTGTGCAGATTCGCAACCCGCAACACGTGAAACTGATGTCACTCAGCACTTAAAGCCAAAATACACCGGTTCAGATAAATTGATTTAACTCACCCCTGATCTAATGGACGATGCTAAAGTGACTTGAAAGCGAATAGAAAAAGTTGGTCATCGACCAACTTTCTTGTTCTTACATTTGTCAGTTCATGTAGGGTGAACGCCGATATGATTCGTCTAAAACGGGCTTTAATCAAGCATTCAGCTCAACCGGCGTCGCTTCGCCTGCTGCTTAACTTAAACTAATACAGGTTCGGCAACATGAATTTGACATCCTTTTCGATCCCAAACTCTTCTTAAGCAGCAACGAATATGACGTCACATACTAGCCCTATAATCGGCCGGAGTGAAAGAGGCGACTAGTCAAACACTGTCAGACCTGTCGTGATAAAACGCCGAATCGCGTGAGCCATCAACCAACACACGCGTGCGCTTTCTACTTGAGCACATGCATGGAAGAATGGTTTATCTTTTTATTCCTGTGTAGGATTTTCTAAAGCCCTACAGTAAAAGTATGGACGTCTGTCAAAAGTTGTTCCAATCGAACCGTCAAAATGCACCGCTCAGTGCTAACATTTGAAAACGGCACAAAAGCCATTTGTAAACAAATGGTTTGTGGGCCCTTTACTCGCTACCCGAAGAACGCCCACGCAAACCAACAGCATCGTCGGAAAGGGGAAAATTTCCCCTACCCGATGTTGCTGTTGTGTCGCGTGGGTGTACTTCAAATAGTGAGTAAAGGGCCCACAAACCATTTGTTTACAAATGGCTTTTGTGCCGTTTTCAAATGTTAGCACTGCGCTTTGCTCGATTGGAACAGCTTTTTTCAGTTTTGTGGTGACAGTCGTCCATACTTTTACTGTAGGGCTTTAGGATTTTCGCGCCTACACCACCATACGGATTCGTGTTTTTTTTCGCTTCCCTTCTTGCTTTCACACATCATTCGAGTGAGGTTTTTTTTATCCCCCCATCCCATTCAGTCATCAGTTAGAACCAGAAAGTGTGACTTTTTGGTGTCGTGGTGTGGTGTATCGCGTCGAACAATAGAAGCAAAAGTAGGCTTCTGTTTTTTCGTCTCCATGGTGCAAAAGGCTTTGAGGTCAAACGCGCGACATTATTGATTGACAATTGAAATTATTATCGGGAAATAATACAGTTTAGTGCAAAGTAACGGTACGATACGAATAACGGTTTGTTGGTCACTGGAAATAATCGTGGAATAGTCGCGTCTTTCATCAAACAATCGAATCGCGTGAGGTCGGGGGTCAGGACTCCCGCGGCCGGTATCTTGTGTGCTGGCCCGGCTTAAGCCGATTCGTAAACTTTAGAGCAGAGATAATTGAAGAAAATTGTTGTTTGTTTTGAACCGAGAAAAAAAAAATGATGCAAGTTTATCTCATTCGGCTCAAGTGTGAATAAAAAAATAAATCAAAAGCGAAAAATCTGATTGCGCAAGTGTCTGTGGGTGAATCCAGTACAGAGAAAAATTAGCGCAACGCAAGGTGTAAGTTAAATAGAAAGAAGAAGACGAGTGTTTATTTCGCTGCTGGTTATCGGGGCTTGATAATCAGCTCTACCTGTTCCTGGCGCAGGTTCGAGTGCGGTGCGATTAAATGGGCGCGTAACGGTAACGTGTGTAAATACCGATATGTAGGGTAAAGCCTGCATATAATATCCGAAGCACCCAAAGCGATGTGCGTCACGATCTGTGCGCGGTTTTCGGTTAATTATTGTTGTTCGCGAATATAGAAGATAACCAATTAGAGGTTCCTTCATTGCTTCCATTCAACGATTGCGCTACAAGGTATGTAGCTGTTGAAATTAATCTAATTTTGCAAAACTTGTGGCGCTGCTGGTGGGAGATCGTAGATCAGCAAATTTGATACGATTTTTGTTTTTCCTTGATTTGTTTTCCGTGCTGAGCACCAATGCTACCGACGCCAGGGAGGCAGCTCCCACACCTGGGCCCTACCCATCGACCCATCAAATCATGAACCGGGGACCAACGGCTTTACTTCCCTTCCGAAGGAAGGCATGATCAGAGATGTTATGCCTCAGAACATCCCGGCGGCGCCGACTGGGATTGAACCCAGGCCTGTCGGGGTGTGACTAACAAAGTGGTGCACCTTTGGAGGGTGTTTCAACACTCCGAAGGAGATAAATAGCGGAACTTTCAATTAGAGTCGGATTCTTGCGATAAATGCTAGACAACTGTAAAAAAATCGAATACTTCATCATTTCTCAATAGTGTTGGAGTAATACGACATGCACTAAACTAAGAGCACGGAATGTAGGAGAAATAGCTCTAACCTAAGATTGGGCCCATTGCTAAAAATCTGCTATTTATCAATTTTATCAAGATGAACGTGTCATTGGGACGGTACTAATGGATATTTTGGTCGATTTTGAAAATTTAGTCGATTGCTGAATTTATGTATGGGCCCAAATAAGGGGCATTTAGGCCGACATTACATCCCTTTCCCCTACTACAATAGATTAAATTACTGGTCGCAGTGGTGTTAGGTCCCGAACAGAGGGAAAAAAAGTTTTTAAGCTGCTATGAGGAAGACATTTTCAAAAGGTACACTTATGTCATTTAGGGATTTACTCGCTTTTTGCGTGGATTTCGTAATAATCGAGGTTTAAACAAAACATACCAATGACAGTGAAAGCGGGAATACCCGAACTACCATTTGAGCTAAAGCCTTTAGGAAGGATATCAAGTAGATTTAATAAAAGGTATGGTCATAAAATGTAAGTGTACATTTCTTACATCCCTTACTTGTTTCTTACAACAAATTTAATGGCAATTCTTACAATGGACTATGTTGCGTACATGCAAGCTCTTCCAGAATGAATAGTTTCGTAGGTAGAAGACCTTCACGAGATGATTGTCTAGCCGCAGTGCATTTGGGGTAACAAACTTTTTCCGAAAATACAGCTAATATAAACAAAACAAAATTATGTAAGAATCTTGCGGTGAAACCTTACAAATTGTGCATGCTTTTATGCAAATCTGTAATAGAATCTTACATTTCCCGGTATAGATTATTTAGAACTAGGGAGTCTTGACTCAACTATAAGTTGCTCTCAGCTTATTGGCGTATCAAAGCAAAGCCAAAACTGGTCATGCGACACCTAGTTTTAAGATCCGCAATTACAAAAATGATGATGTACTAAAAAAAAGTCATGTAATTTGACAGATATCAAAACGTTATTACCATTTCCACCCCCTCACCATCTGTGAGTCAATCGTCACTTTGATTCTTCAATAGCGAATTCGTTTATTATTCAGTTCCAACCTGGATCGGGTATCAAGATTGGGTCTGAATGTTTGATCGTTTGTTTTTAAAACCTAACTCAGGTTGAGGTTCACTGACAAAAAGTTCGGTTTCGCACCCTATAATAAACGAATTCGCTATTAGTATTATTTAAAGCACTTCTTCTTTTCTAGTTATTAATTGAGAGTTTTCAATGCCAATCGCTGCATGAATTTGTACATGACAAATCTCGAGCAACATGTGAAAATGGCTTACATGAGCAATTCTGTACCAAATGAGCAAACGACCCAGCTCGACCCTCTAATTATTCAAAAGGGTGTACAGTGAACTCTCTAAAACTCGATATTGAAGGGATCATCGAGCTATAGAAATATCGAGTAATAGAACAACAATCTCATAGGAAATCACCATCGTAGTAGCCCCAAAATTGATGTTTACTTCTTCTTCTTTTTCGCATTTAAGCTTATTACTTATCGCGTATTAGCTTATTGCGTGCTCTCAACTTCCACAGGTATTAATTGAGAGCTTTCGCTTCCTGTGCCATTTTTTTGCATTAGCATTATTGTGTAGCAAGTACAATCATACTTAATACCCAGTGGTCGAACTACAATGTGACAGCTCGAATGTTTTATGATTTTAGACGTACTTGAAAGACCTGTCGGAACAACTTTAACATCCGGCATGTCACTGGAGACACATGATCACTTCAAGCCTTATGTTTGAGTTTAGAATGAAAGCAAACAAGTTTGCAATCATCTACCACTTATAACTAAAAATGGCCACGGCAGTCTTGGCGTCTTCACTACGTTCCAAGATGGCGGCTCAGCACATGTATTTTCTTCAATTTCTATGGCGGCCGCTCATCATCTTGCACTTAACTTTTCCGTGTTTTTCCAACAATATTTACATCTGATCCGGCAGAATTCGCACTTCACTTAATCCACTTGATTGTACGGTTCGATTGGACCAAATTAATGTTGGATCAGTGAACTGTACCACCTCGTTTACCAAACGTTCATGGAGAGGATTTTGACTTTGGATGTCTTGACCGGCGGAACACTTATCCAACGGAATCTTTCGGATCAGATATAAAACTTCAACAGTTTCTCTTCACTTCTTTCTTTCTCATTTGCTCTAAATTAATTTAAGTAAAATACTTTGGTTCGCGTCGGGGTTCCAAACTCTAATGGCGGACGATTGATCGCCGGCTGGCTGCTGCGTCTCTCCGCTAGTCGTCGTCGTCGTCCTCTTTTCTCCTACGCTCCACACGTCGATTGATACGCAACGGTTGGTAGCGCCGTCCCGTCCCTTATTTTCAGAAATTCAAATGTTCGTTTTGGTTTGAAAAAAAAAAAATATCAGAATTTGAAGTTCGTACGTTAACTTTTAAAGGTCACTCATCGGCTCTAAATAAATGATGTAGTAAGCAACCCCCCTGTCATGGTAAAAACGCTACCTTAGTGTACGCTCCATAGGTATCACCATGAATCTATGGTATAAACCATGAAAAGATACTCGCTCACGTATGCTGAACGTCAACATAAAACAGTATGTTACATGGTCATTCTTCTTGCAATAAAATGTAAAGAGTGTAAATGAAAGCTCTCTCTCTCTCTCTCTCTCTCTCCCTTTCTTCAAAAATAGGAAACAAGTGGAAAGTGAGCTACACCTACACCTGTTTAGCGGTATTTCTAGCACTCAATCTAACCGGCAGCCTTGCGGATCGATGCTGGTAGTAAGAGGTAGCTAGCACTTTCTGTATTGTCGGAAGACGAGCTCCAGTGATAGCTTCACATTCAGGTCCTACTAATTTAACGCGAGTTTCACTACTAATTTTATGAGCCATTTTGAGGATGCTTTTCATTGCTTGAAACGACGCATCTACAAGCACTGAAATAAGGGTTGCCGCTGTTAAGACATAAACAGGGTACTGTTGTAACCGGACAGAGGTTTCCATCCTTTGTCACGGCTACACGAAAGCAACTGGTTTATCGCTACCTGTATTGTTGCCGCTGCTGCTGTTGCTGTTGCTGTTACTGCTGCTAGTCCGTCTGCTTCAAAGTTCGTTACAAGAATGACTTCATTAGTACTTTAAATGATCTTTATTTCTTGTATTTGTGTGGTTTACATGTATTACTTATCAGGTGACACAGATGTGTCTTTTCAACTTTAGTTCTTTGGAATCCTATCAGGCCTGTTTTAGACAATGACCACCTTGGTGGAATTGGTTTGTTTTAAATTGAAAAAGAAAACTACTTCTAACTACTATTTACAACTACAACTACTATATACACCTAATCTACTATATACAAATTGCTTATCAAAGCATGTTCTGATAAAATACATTATTGTGCAAATTTAGTGTTAATTTCGTTAATTCTGGAATCTATTTTAGGAATGCCTGCCTCTTCGTGTAAATTTGTTATTCTAGTGTCGAAAGGACGATCAAGTACCATCTTCAGCACTCTATTCTGAGCGACCTGGATTTTGTTCCTGTGAGTCCAGTTTGTTCACCCTTGAGAGGCGGGATCTGCGGCAAATCAGCGGATACAGGCACCTAACCAAGGCAGAACACTTGACTACCGTTTTCTCTACATGCGAACGGAAGAGGAGCTTTTCATCAATCAACATCCCGAGATAGTACAAGATGGAACCGGTTTCAGTTTGGGCGATTGCCGATGGAGGAACATGATCGCTTGTGTTTTGGAGGGATTGATTTTAATTTTCCACGTGGTGGCATAATCAGCAAAGGCGTTAAGGCATCGTTGAAGTTTGTTCGTTATTTCGCGAGGCATCCTTCCTTTGACGGCTATTGCGGTATCATCTGCGAACAGGAAAAACACGCAACCGACTCCGAGGGGAGGAATGTCGGAAGTGTAAATGCTGTAAAGCAAGGGGCCCAGCAGACTGCCTTGCGATGCGGGACTCCTGCAGGGATAGAAAACGATACCTTAAACGACTTTTGCTGGAGGTAGTAACGCGTGATTTTAACCAGATGTAAAGGAAGGTTACAAAGCCAAACATTGTCAAACGCCTTTTCAACGTCTAATAGTCGCTATATTCATAGTCTGGCGGATAGAATTTCGATTTATCAAAAAGCGGAACCAATTCAATATATTGTAGACCAACAATTGAAAAGGTACTATCAACTTTTAAAAACAAAACGTTGATTATTCTTTCCTCGCCAATCGAACGCAAATTACCAGCATCATCGGATAGGGGAAACCTTCCCCAACCCAAAGATGGTATTATTTTTGGTAGGAGAGTCTAGAGTCACGAGAAAAAGGGTGCCGAAGTTTTGTTCGCAATAACTGATGTGCTCTTTTCTGTTGTTGGTCGTGATTTGCTCGATTAGTTCCGCTCTTTGACAGCTCAATTTGTTCCAAAGATTCAATCCGCCAGACTATGAATATAGCGACTATAGGCCATGGCTGTGGACTTGGATACAGCTTTGTTACTTCGGATGTTATTCATCACCCGTACTAGCTGGTAATTGGTGGAGTACCCCTTTCTGAATCCAAACTGTTCCGGAAGGAGAATCTTATTTTCCTCGACAAACTTGAGCAAACGATTGAGCTGCTCTGAACCGAAAGGAGGCAGATTGGTCTGTAGCTTGAAGGCAATGTTGGATCCTTTCCGGGTTTTGGGATTGGTATGATTTTTGCTACCTTCCAGATGCTTGGAAAGTAGTGCAGTTCCAATCATCTGTTGAAGATAGCGGTTAGAAGAGACTGCACTTTCATGCTGAGTCTCCTCAAGATCAAGTTGAATATATGTACCGTCAAACCAGGGAGCCTTCATGTTCTTGGTGCATTTCAGCGCTGAGCAAATCTGTTGTACTGTAATCATATCCGCCGGAAGCATGACACAAGGGGAGGCATCTAGGTTTTGAACGCATTGTGCAACTTGATCTTCGAGCGGACTTTGGATACTCGAGCCAAGCGTCTACGAACATTTCTCAGGTGAATCAAGAGTTGGGTGTGGAAATCAATGACAATAAACTTATCCCTCACAGGAACTCGTCGGACGCACGCCTCGTCAGCCACGGTTATGGCTTGGTGGAGTCCCTCCAACGCTCGGTCGATGTCCTCCAGGGTGTCAAGCGGCGGGTTGTCGATGATGTGCCTGTCTACCATGCGTCCAAACTGGGCCAAGTTTACGCGATGGTAGTTCTTGCGCAGGCTTGAAGCAGGAGCCACGTTGCAGCCCAGTTCATCCACCACCGGTTGGTGGTCGGAGCTGAGTTCGTTCAAGGCTACCGGCTTGGACAAGCCGATATTTGTCAGGAACAGGTCTAGCGTCGATGGGTTGCCTGCCGGTGAGATAAATGTTGGTTCATCCGAAAACCAAACGGAGTACAGCCCATGCTGTGAGTGGTCGAACAGCAGACGACCGTTTTGGTTCTGCTGGTAGTTTCGCCAGGTCTCATGGTGAGCGTTTAGATCTCCTCCAACTACGAAGCGGGAACCGGTACGGGTGATGGTGGACAGGTCCTTCTTGAATTTAGCCGCTAGTCCACTGCTGGCGGCACACTGTCGAGGGCAGTAGACGGTGATGAACTGGACGTATCCAGTCGACGACTTCACCTCCACACCAAGGGCCTTTGATGATAGAGGTGCGGATATGGGATAGAGTGTGGTATTTTATTAATTTTTTGACGACGACCGCAACACCACCCCCTGGAGCTGGTGCCATCAAACCGAATAATGTTGTGGTCAGGCAACCAGAAGCTGTCGCCGGACTTTAGGTGGGTCTCGGTTAGAAGGCCCACGTCGATGCTGTGCTTGCAAAGGAAGTCAGCAAGCTCGAAATTGTTGGCTCGTACAGAGCAAGCGTTCCAAGTGACTATAGTGACTATGTGACTATGAGTTTAATCGTCCATAACAACGCATGAAAACTTCGTCAAATATTTGCAGTACAAACGTCGAGCCCCTGATTTTGCTGTCAAATTCTGTTTATCGTTGCGAATTGGAACTGGTTTTTACTTTATACGAGACTTCAGCTCCAAACGCTGTTTTGTTTTTTGGACAAAACCAGGCGACATTCTTATTTTACGAGCCACCGTTCGAACCGAGAGATTCGGGTTTTCCTTCAATATCCTCTTCACCTTTCGGTCCATGACAGGATCAGCACGTCTAATGTTTTTACCACTTCTCGGTTTCCTTCTTCTTCGCATTTCAAGCTTTTTGCTTATCGCATATTAGCTTATTGCGTGCTCTCAACTTAGTGTTCTAGATGCACTTCCACAGTTATTAATTGAGAGCTTTCGATGCCTGTACCATATTTCTGCATTAGTATAATTGTGTGGCAAGTACAATCATACTCTATGCCCAGGGAAGTCGAGCAATTTTCCAACCCGAAAAATTCCTAGACCGGACCGGGAATTGAACCCAGCCACCAACATGGTCTTGCTTTGTAGCTGCGCCTTAACCGACTGAGCTAAGGGAGGCCCCGGTTTCCTCTCGACCGTCAATCGTTCCGAAAATGATTTGAGCACACCGTTGAACAGTGGATTTAAGTAAATCCATTTTTTTTTGCAGGTTCCCGTATTGACAAGTCGTGATTTGCATTACGTCCGTTCAAAATCCGCTCGCGCATGTGTTTTTCATTCGTCGCCATCTTGAACAGTAAACATGGAATGCAAACACCAATCAAAGTCTTTTTCATCAATGACTCCCAGCTATACCTCAACGAAATTTTTCACTCCTACGGGCAATATTTCAAAAGTTACTGTGATTTGAAGGTGCCCGGATTAATGTGGATACAAACCTTAGTAAATGATGGTTATGATTATCACGTCCTTCTAAAACGATAGACGGTTATGATGTTTGTTTTCTCAAGTTACAGAAGACGAATGAGGGTAGTAGGTACATGAAAGGGAATCATTTCAACCTTTTTCGTCGTACTTTTGTTTTGTTCTCTGGATTACCGTCTCAATTTGCTGGAGTGATGAAAAAAGAAAATTTATTTTTCGAACTGAATTCATGCCAGTACCGTAAAGGCGTACTGGACTGTTTTTTTAACTATGCCATCCTATGGATTACCTATGGATTGAAACGAATAATGTTATCCGCATAAAGGCGATAGGTTGTATCGTTTGCGAGGAATCATTAAAAACGTACGGTGTGAATTGCGATTCAGCGGCGCCAACCGTGTAAAAAAAACGCATAGAACAGTGTGTATTATACATAGAATGCAAGTAATAGATGGAATTGAAATAATAGTGTTGCTCTTATGGAAAATGAATATCTCATTCTCCAGATTATTTTTAAAAATTTGCTCCAACTTAACTTTTTGTGGACTGCTCTATTAAAAAATAAATGCATCACCCTAGTGAAGCATCATGTATTAGATGCTGGTGATGACTTAAAATAATATACAAGTCGTATGAAAATAGTTGTGAATATTTGTAGAGGCCAATTTATCAATGTTCCATATCTCTGAAAAAAAATATCTTGGTCCCAGAAAGCCGATCTTTGTTAAAAAATAAATGTTTCCGAGATAACACCAGATCTCGATGTTGCATGCATTTTTATGTCATTTGGCATCAAAAAATAAAAATCGAATTCCCGGTCCCCGGTGCCCTTGTTTCGGAACCTCAAGATGATCATTTTCATTGGCACCCTAAGCAGTATGTTTGAATTCAGCACAATATCAACATTTGATTGTTAACTTAAGTGGAACCGCATGCAGGGCAAGACCTGATACTTACATACATTATACTTAAGTTTATTAAAGTGCATAATTGACGAACATTTTCTTCCCTTCTTCCAGATGCCCTACAGCAATGGGGCGACGCTGCGCTTCCTGCTGCCGATTCCATTCCGTAGCAACTACCAGGACTGCAATCTGACGCGTCTGTCGCAGAGTTCCGATTCCGTGTACCACGACGAGGCGTACGACGTCGTCGGTTCCATCATTCCACTAGCCTACCGGCCAATGAGTGCCATCAACGGTTGCGCTGCTGCTTCCGAAATATGTGACTGTGGTTGCGGAAATGATGATGATCAGGATCGTGGCAGGGGCAATGGTGTGCGGTGAGTATTGTTTTCGATTTTGCTTTTCCTTAACCGAGGGGATAGAACTGGCAACACTGTTGTCATAATTTTAGATTGTTTTAAATTTGAACTGCTATTGGTTCAATGCCAGGAAACTATTTTCGGGTGCAATCGTTATACTTGGATCGGAAGGTCGCCACCAGATTAAGTGCGATCGAAGAGAATTCACGTTAGCCGTAGTAGACATTATCGAAGTTGTAAATTTGAAGAGTTCAGAGGTTTGCTTGAGGTGTCCACCTTTTATCAGCATCATTATTTTTCGGATAATGGTCGTACGATTCCAAATCTGCGCCGATTGAGTGGCGTGTTCGAGCGTTATCGTATCTTACGAACGGACGACGGACGGAGAGTGGCGCGTGTCATACAAAAGTGAGGTGTATTTTTTTTACATTTTAGGCAGGGTTGCTTCCACTCACTTGCTATAAAAAACTGTTTTTCGGAATTATGAAATCATTAGACGTTGTAATGGTAATAAGTACTTGTTAGTTACAAGAAGAGGTTATAAAGTATGTGTTTGAGACATAAAACCTGTTAATATTGCTTTCAGAGCTTCACAATAAGCGATTTTTCTGAGTAAACGCTCACGAATCATATAAAACTGATTCTGTCGGAGCGCTTCTTTTGTTTTTGGGAATAATGGGTGCAAACCTTCATATCACGCGTTCTCATTGACTTCGTTTGGTAGCTTATTAACTAAAGTATCGTACCAAACGCATAATTGACTTGTTAACTCTGAAATCATGGATTTATTTGAAGTTTTCTGCTCGATAGGCCCAAAATGAGCGATCTTTTAAATAAAGTATACCTGGCTTGACACAATTGCCAAATTGTGCCTGGTGTTCAAGTTATATTGACATGAGTATGAACATTGCATTTAAGAGCACATATGATTTAAAATATCGTAAATGTTGCTTGCAAGTAGAGCTTAAAACATGCCGAAGAAAGAATTTAGCTAAATAGTCAAAAAAAAAAAACTGGGACTGAAAGTGTGTGTGCGAACAGTTCTTAATAAATCGAAATTCGGCAGACCTGTAGGGGCCGATGCGGGAAGACTCAACTGCAACTCTTTGAATTATTGAAACAATAAACATCTAAAAAATAAAGGATAGCGAGTTCTTTGGTATAGATAGCTGATGAGCATGAGCATGAGTATGATTGACAGCCTGAGGATACAACTCTGTTATTGCCAGATCAGCTGTAATTAATTACACAGAGAACCAATAGACGTTGCTTGGGACTAGCATTCATCCTGAATGTGTAAATACTGGTGATTTTTTTAATTAGGCAATGCGATTGCCGGCCACGTCCGAATGCTGGTCAAGACATGCGCTTTAATGAAAGCCGAGAACACCTCTGCATTTCCACGATACATCCCTGCGATGTTGGATAAAAGGGGGATTGCAGCAGGATTCGTTTTGCTAAACGATATACTGAATTGATGTCCTAACGATTGAATAGCGCGAAGGAGCTTGGGTTTGAACCCACGGTCTTCTGCTATGTACGCAAAATCGGTCACCACTAGGCCACCGAGCTCCTTATATCACAACTCAATTGCGATCAAGTTTCAGTTCAATTTGTTGTTACTATGTTTCGATCCCGGCGACGACAACAATTGCTCTTGAGAAGAATTCGATATGGATTTCCAATGAACACGTCTTTCCTAATACTTAAATATTATTTCCTCTACGTACCCATGCTTTAACCGAATTTCATTACGCTCCGTAGTGTAAAGTGCTTGGGTTCTAACCCACGATCTTCTGTTCAATAAGCAAAAACGGTTGCTCTATAGCCATCGTGCCCCTTACATTACCACAATCTACGGCCGACTTAACAAACAGCTATTCAAATGAAGCGACGCATGGTTTAAACAATTCAACTTTTGGTTATTAAATGCCTTCGCCAAAAGGAAGATATTCTCTTGTAGACAAACTCTCTCGAAGATGCTAAGCCTCTAGAGTGCATGGTTTTCGAGATATCGATTTTTGTCGTGAAATTTTGAGTTTTCGACCATAGTGAAGCGCCGTGTAGTAAGAAAATTGTGAACTAATGTTTTTTTTTATTACAGAGATTTTCAGCCGAAAGCTAGTTTATCTCTTGAGAACTAATCTGTCTTTCATCCAAATCGAAAAAAAACCCACAATTCTTAGATATTTTTTTTATTAAAGAGTTTTTCAGCCTTGAGCAACTTCTACAGGGCTGGTAGTGAGTCACTTCTTAGTTATTTGGTCTCTTTTTTCAAGCCAGTCACTAAAAAGTCTCCGTCATTAAAATAACTTTTTCTTGTAATCAGTCACTATTTTCAACTTTTTTTACGTGAATTTATTTCAAGATAGTAGTATTCCTCTTGGATCTGATTGTCCAATCGATGCTCACATTTAGTTCTAACTTACGAACAATTCGAAGGTGTTATGCTTCTATAAAGCTTTTTGACGTTTAATCGTCTTTCTCTATCTATTCATTTGGCTAAATAAAAATTCCTAACTTTTCCAGGTATTCCTGAACTTTATCGGATAATTTCTTTATTTCTTTATTGTTTATAATAAGAAAGCTATTTTTATACATGACAATCAGTTTTAAAGAAACAGCTTTACAATAGACTTCATTAAATGTTGAAGTTTAACACTTACTTAATTTTAGTTAGTCTAAGACCGTATTCCATGTACAAGTTCAAGATATTGAAAGTTGCAGCAAACTGCGGGAACATAAGGGAAGTTTACATTCTGAAAATATGGGCAAACTTTCTGGGAGCTTTAAGAACTTTAAAGCGGTTCTATTAGCTTCTGGAAAAAAAACCAGGAACTTTAAAGAAGTTCCTAGAATTTTAGAGAACTTTACCGGTAAGAGAATTTCAGAAATATACAGAATTTGGGAAAAAGTGTGGAAACTTTAAAGAAGCTCTATTTACCTCAGAAAAGCTAAAACTAGAGATCTTTGGGGAAATTCAGAGATCCTACACAGATAAAAATTCTGAATTTTAATTGTGATGTAAACATTCATTCACGTAAACTTCAATTTAATTTCACACAACCGAGCAACTTGTAAACAATATTGTTTACAAAGATGGGGTTTGTATACAATATTTGCTACATTGCATGAATTGTGCTAGAACTTTACATGATATATAATGTAAACTTATATGAAATATGACGCTCCATTTGTGTGCATCATATTGAACAGAAATTTACACTACTTTTCGAACTGTGTAAGGGCAGTTCCCGTTACTTTAATTCAGATTTTTTGAACAGTTTAAAAGTTTATTAGCGTGAGTTTAGAAAAAAATCAGGAAGTTCCATGATATGCTGAAGAAAAACAAATCAAGAACCCTTAAGCGGTTCCAATTATTTCAGGGAAGTACAGGACCTTCAGAGAATTTATGAAAACTTCCAAAATATGTCAGGAACTTCCTAGAAGTATAGAGAATTTTAGGAAAGTTTAAAGGCGTTCCATTTATTTCAGAGTAGAGTCGAGGCCTTCAATATAATTGAGAGCTTCAGTGAAACTCCGAGAACATCAAGTCAAATCAGAGAATCAAAGGGTAATTCAAGTAATTTCAAGAAAATTGCAGAAAACTTGAAGAAGTTTCGAAAAAACTCAGGGAATTTTCGGAAATTTAAGCTCCGAGAGAATTTCTGGAACTCAGTAAAAATTATATGAACATCTGGAAAATGTGAAAGTATTTTAAGAGTGACATATCACGGAAATTTCAAGAGTTTCAATTAACTGCGAAAATTGAGCTAAGTTTTCTTTTATTTATTTGATAAGGCTCAATGAAATTCACTTTATAGAGCCAAGGATTTTTGTTCATTATAGAAAACATCGTAAAACTATATTCAAAAGGTACAGCACAACAAACGCTTTATCTTCCGCAATCCAATAAGCCCACTCCATCAGAATGGGATCCGCTTCCAGTGGCTTTATTGTACGGCAGTATCGGGAGCAGAGAGCGTCCATTGCAGGAATGGACGCAACACCGTGGTAATCACTCACACACTCATCACGAAACGGTTGCTTTCCTAAATCGACGACGCATCGAACTGCTGATGAAGAACAATGAATAAGACCACGCAACAGTTACTGCCGAGTAAACAGACGATCGCGTGACACACATCGAGAGTTGCCTGCTTTTATTTACAGCCGAGTGAACAGTCGAGTTTAGCTAAGCTGATTAGAGAACATCAACGAAGTTACATTAATTAACATAAATTGCGAGATCTTTTAGCAAGCAACAATATTTTCAACAAAATCCAGAGAACATCTAAGTAATGTAGATATTTTTAGATAGATTTCATGATATTCAGCGAAGTTCCGAGTTCTTTCTGGGCGATCAGAAAACTTCAGAGCAATCCCATTAACTTATGCAAATTTGCAACTTACAAGAAGTTTTATGATCCGAAAACTTACAAAAGCGCCAAGGAATTATGAATATATCAGAAAATTCTCCGGAACATTAAGCAAATTTAGAGAACTTCAGGAAAGCATAGAAAACTTCAGGAATGTCCCGATAACTTCAGGGAAAATTAGTGATTTAAGGCAAAGTTCCGTGAGCGCGTATAAAGTTCATGAAACTTAAGGAATTGTGGAAGCGGCGCCGGTATTGTAGTGGTAAGCGTGAAAAAAACCCCCAAAGGGCCTGAGTAAATCCCAGTCGGCACCGCCGAGATTTTCTGAGGCATACAATCTCTGATCACGCCTTCCTTCGGGAAGTAAATCCGTTGGTCCCCGGTCCATGAGCTGATGGGTCGATAGGTAGGGTCCAGGAGCTGCCTCCCTGGTGTCCGAAGCATTAATACTGTACGGAAAAACAAAATCGACGGTAAACAAATCAATAGAAATTGTGGAAAAATCAAGGCAAATCTATTAATTTCAGTAAAATTGCGGGTTCTTATAAAAAAATGTAAAAATTCAGGGCAGCCTTTAAGGAAATTCAGAAGTCTTTTGGGCAGTTTGAATAATGTCCGTGAAGTCTAGACAATTGATGA